GCTAGTGGGTTTGAAACACCAACCTTTTGGTTAGACCTAGCACTTTAATCTGCTTCACCAGGGTTAATCTCGTTACCCTGTTTAATTTTCTTTACCCAGCAGCACATGTTGCTCTCTTATATCATGCTTATTTGTTCTCTTGTTTATTGTCTACCTCCCCAAAAAGACTTCACAAGAAGTCTTTTTGCTTGGTTTACTGGTATACCCCCATTGCCTGGCAGGGAGTAGACACTGATACTGAACATGCTTCCTAGCCCTGTTGGCTGCCCTGCCCAGCCTCCAGCCTCCCCCAACCATTCTCACCACACCCAACTCTGAAGCTGGGTTTTCGTAAACTCTTCCTTCCTGCTAACCACATTTGGGCTCTGCATTAGATCACTGCCTCATACTCACTCACCTGCCTCCCTTATGCTACATTTCCCACCTCAGCCTCGTAACCCAAGCCCCCATCTACTCCCTGCTCTTCGACACATGCACACACACACACACTTGGCAACTCTGAACAGATTTAGTAAGGTCATGAGGGGTGGGGGTTCCTAGACCCACTGGGGTAGCAGAGGAATGGGGAGAAGGAAAGTTGCCAAGATCTAGAGGTTCAGTCCTTGGCTGTCCCCTTCAAATGGTGGAGTCATTGGCGGAGGCCACGTCATGCAACTGGTGGCGGAAGGAGAGTCTGGCTTTTCTGCTGAAGTAGGCACCAGCAGTCTCTGGGGCGGGTATCCCTCCATCAGCCACAATGGAGGCTGCAGGTGTGCTGGGATCTGAAGAGACAGCTGGGTCCAGGCCTAAAAAGGAGATTGGAGAAGGAAGAAGGGAGTTGTGAGGGTTCATCTGCTGTCCCTCCAAGCTCACCCAAGAGTAAGGCTAGAGAAGATGCTTGAGGTCAGGGGTTGAAGAGGTTGGTGGCAGCAGCAGGAATAAAAAGGGGATGTTGAAAAAGAAGGGCCTGCTTTGTGGGCTCAGAAGGGCCACAGGCTTGGTGTAATGCTTTCTTGAAAATCTTAATAATTTGCAATAAGGGGCTCTGACTTCATTTTGTATTGGGCTCTGCAAATTAGTCTTACTGGGGAGTGAAAGATCCACCCACACCCGAGAAGATAGATATCCTTTTTCTCTTGCCTGACTTGGACATCTATCTTTCTAGCCAATGTATTTGTCTGACCATCTGTCTGCTAGGTAGGTTCCCCCACCCCCCACTCTCTCCTCTGGCTCTCCTCATACCTGCTCTTCTATCAGTCCGCTGTTTCCGGCACCCACACCATAGGAAACACCATGCTCCCTTCAGACCCATCTCAACAATGGAGGCGACTGCGATGTTGAGAATGACCAGGAGGGCCCTGGGTGAGGGGTGTGGTTTCCAGGCCCCCCCATCATGGGTAAACTACCACTTAGCTTCAGACCTGCCTGGTGATTACAGGCGCCAGGGGACAGAAATGGGAGAGGACGGAGGAGAGGGTGGAGAATACCCCCATTCCAACAGTTGTCTTTTACACCCTCCTGATGGGGTTCTCTCTGATCCCCTTGGAAAAGCAGAAGGACATTGAGAGGTATGGTAGAGACAAACCACAGAGAGGTGCTGTGGTGGAAGAGGTAGTACAATAATTCTAGACACTTGGTGCTAGGCAGGACATCACTAGGGACTCGTTTGTATTTTACAGTGACAATTTGGAGTATCCAGGATTCAAGATTTTAGTCTTTCCCTTTCTCTCTCTTTTAGGATAACTCAAAATATTTTACTAGCCAGGGAAATATTATATTTTCATCAAAAGTTCTGGTAGCTCTTGTCCCCTTTTATAAAGGTAGGTGGTATTGTTAAGTACTGTCCAGTCAGTTTTGACTTACAGTGACCCTGTATAGGGCTTCCAAGGAGCAGCTGGTGTGTTTGAACCACCAATCTTATGGTAAGCATTCCAATGCTGTTCCTACAGCACCACCCCAGGACTCCTTTATGAAGAAAGTTGTACCTAATTGACTTAATTATGCAGTGCCAGGCAGATGCTAGGGATTTCCATAGGTTATCTCTGTTAATCATGTAAGGATCTTTTGAGGTCAGTGTTATTACTGCTCAGATTTTACAGATGAAGAAACAAAGGCTCTGAGAGATTAGCTCATTTGTTCAAGGCCACACAGGCATTTATCAGCAAAGTAGGAGCCCTACCCAGGCCAGCCTGACCCCACAGTCCACTCGGTTAACCACCACATGGAGTTTCCCAAACAGCATGTCCTTGGCAGGCAATGATCCTCTCAGCCAGGCTGAGATCCTGAGTGGAAATTCCAGAGCATCCTGTCCAGGAATGCTAAATGCTCTCATATAAGCTGTACAAATACTTTGTCATCATTCTCTAAGGGCTTCATGATGTAGAAAAGGGGAGGAACTGCCTATTCCATTGTACCTGCCTAATTTAGTCAGAAATCTATTGCCTTTTTTCTTTTAATTAACTATTGAAGTAAGAATTTATATGCCTTTTTTCTTTTAATTAACTATTGAAGTAAGAATTTATATGTAACTTAATGCATACATATTATGTGTATGGTTCCATGACAAGTTATAAAATAAACAAACCAAACAGTTGCTGTGATGTTGATACCAACCCATGGTTACCCTATGTGTATCAGAGAAGAACTGTGTCCAGTAGCGTTTTCAATGGCTTTATTCCAAGGAATTTCTGGGTGGATTTGAATCTTCATCCTTTCAGTTAGCAGTCAAGTGGGTTACGTTGTTGTACCACCCATGGATTCTGTGTGCCCCTTTATAGTCAGTCATTTCCCCAGCTCCAATACCATGTACCTACGGATCAGATCCACATCATCACCATAGATTAGTTTGCCTATTTTAGAATTTCATATCAATGGAATCATATTGTATTACTCCTTTATGTCTGACTTCTTTGGGTATAATATTTTTGAAATTCATTCATGCGGTTGCATGTATTAAAATCCATTTGTGTGTGTTTTTTATTACATCTCTATTTAAATATAATTTGCATTACATAAAAGTCACTGTTTAAAAATGTACTTGGTATACATTAGTATATTCACACAGAGTTGTACAAGTATCATCACTAATTTTATCATATTTTCATCCCTCCTAAAAGAATCCCCATGCCCCTTAGCAACCATCCCCCTTTCATTCCTCCCTCCTCCCAGCCCCTGAGAACCAGTAATCTATTTCTGCCTTCTGGACATTTCATATAAATGGATCATATAATATGTAGCCTTTTGTGTCTGTCTTCTTTCATGGTAACATAATGTTTACAAGGTTCACTCATTCACTGCAGTTCTTTTTAATGGCTAAATAATATCCCATTATATGCTAGAAGGAGCACTAGTTATTAATCATCAGAGAAATGCAAATAAAATCATATAAATGCTGAACTGGGAACCACAAAGTCAGAGGTTAGAGCCCACCAGCTTCTCCAAGGAAGAAAGATGAGGTGTATCTACTCTAGCAAAGATGTGCACAGCCTATCGCTTTGTAGCTATAAAAATGGCTAAATAATCTGAAAAAGGGGTCCTGGTATAGCCCTGCAGGTTAATGCACTGGACTGCAAGGTCAGTTTGAATCAAAAAGTCGGTGGTTCAAGCTTATCAGCAGCTCCTAGAAACCCTTTACAGGGTTGCTATGAGTCAGAACCAACTTGATGGCACTTATTAACAACAATGTGGAGAAGGCTGACATTATCAAGTCTTGGTGATCCTGGGAAACTATCATATACTAATTTATTTAAGAAAAATAAAAGTAATATAGAACAACCATTTTGGAAAACAGTTTGGCAGCTTCTTACAAAGTTAAGCATACATTTACTATATGACCTAGCAACTCCATTCCTAGCTATTTACTTACCCAAGAGAAACAAAAACATATCTACACAAGGAGATGTACAGGAATATACATGAGAGCTTTATTCAAAATAGCCAGAAACCCAAATGTCCATCAAAAGGATAAAGAAATCTGTTTCTCATAGATATGGAAATTTCTTGTCTTTTTGTTGTTGTTAAACAGAAGGAAACCTCACAATCATTGCTACATCTGAGCCCATCGCTGCTGCCACTGTGCCAATCTATCTCGTTGGGAGGTCTTCCTCTTTTTCTCTGACCCTCCACTTTCCCAAATGATATTCTTCTCCAGTGACTGGTTCCTCCTAAAAATATGCGTGAGGTATGAGAGAGAAGTCTGGCCATCCTGGCTGTACTTTTTCCAACACAGATGTTTGTTCTTTTGGCAGTCCGTGGTGCTCTCATTATTCTTCTCCAACACCATAACTCAAATGCATCAATTCTTCTACCGTCTTCCTCATTCACTGTCCAACTTTTGCAAGCTTATGAAGTTATTGAAAATACCATGGTTTGGATCAGGCGCACCTTAGTCCTCAAACTGACATCTCCTCTTTTAGGGCATGAGAATTTTCTTGTCTCCCCTAAGTTGTAAGTTCCAGGAGAGCATATTCCATAACTGTCTAATTCACTCCTACCTGATTGTGTCCGGCATGGTGCAAGTGTGCAATAAATGTTTGGTGCATTAATAAGTGCAAATGTGCATACCTTAATTCATTTACAGCTACCATAGCTCCAGTATTTTATTCCTTCCATTTGCAAACGCTGGCTGGGCAAGGTCCGATATAATTCATAGCGGGTCTGCCAGTGGAACAAGTAGGTCCCTGTCAAGGATGCGCGTCTGCTAGGACGTATGGAGAGGGGCCGGGGGCCTGGCGCCGAGGAAGCCCGAGGGAAGAAATGTGCGCAGAGCCGTGCGCCCACTGCAAGACAGACGCACAGCCAGCTGGCCGCGCGGTCCTCACGACAGAGGCGGCCCCAGGCCAAGGCTGCGCTGGGCAGGGAAGGCAGAGGGCGGCGGGGGCGGGACAGGACAGACGCGAATCCCGCGGAGGTGAGGCGGGGGGGCCGACCCGCCCCCGAGGGCAGGCCCTGAGCCCCGGCCCCGCCCCGACCCGCTGGGGTGTGGGCTCCGGCGCCGGCTCCGCTGAACTCCTTCTGCTCGGAACCCGCTCCAGCGTTGGCTCCGGCAGCCGGGGCGAGGGCCGGAGAGGGGCGGCGCGGGGGCCTGGGGCCCGGAAATCGGGCGGGAACGGGATGGGCTCGGGCTGCCGGGCCTCCAGACTCAGCCGAACTCTCAGATTTCGGGTTTTCGCTCCCTAAACCCGAGCGCATAACTTCCTCATTCCCGCCTGGACCCTGTCTCGCTGCCGACTTGGCACCTCGAGCCCCTCCTGCCCCGGCTTCTGCCCTGTCCCAGTTCGGGAGCACCCAGGTCTGGTTCGTTGCCTCTCAGCGTCCTGGTTATAGAGTGGGGTGGTGGTGGTAGCAGGGCTGAGTGATTTAGGATGAGAGACTGCGGTATGGGATGGAATAGTAAGGGAGGTTCTGCTGGGCGTTGCTGATCGATCGAGCCATAATCAGAGAGAGTTTGGGGTTCAGCGGGAGCCAGGTGGATGGGGAAGAGAAGATCGGTGATAGATGGTGGTCATGTGGTTTGGGTTGGGGGCAGGGTTCTTAGGTGAGGGCCACTCCCTAAGGCCTTCCCATACTTGTAGAATGATGGCGACCCCAGAGAGCCTGTTCGCCCCTGGGGGTGACCTGGATTCAAGTCAGCTACAGATGGAATCTGATGAAGTGGATACTCTGAGGGAGGGAGAGGACCCAGGTATGTGGAGTACAGCCCTCAGGAGGGGAGAAGGAGAGGACTGGGGTCTCCTGGATCTGCACTCCCCTCACATTTTCTTCCTCCCAGCTGACCGGATGCACCCCTTTCTGGCCATCTATAACCTTCAGCCTCTGAAAATGCACCCTATAGTGTTTGCCCCTGGAGTCCCCATCACAGCCCAGGTGGTGGGCACGGAAAGATACACCAGTGGATCCAAGGTGATTGGGTTGGCACCAGGAGGCGGATAACGGGAGAGCTGGCAGAGTGGAGGGCTAAAACGCAACTGAGGAACATTGATTCAGTTCCTTGCCACCCTCAGGTGGGAACCTGCACCCTGTATTCTGTCCGCTTGACTCATGGTGACTTTACCTGGACCACCAAGAAGAAGTTCCGCCATTTCCAGGAGCTGCACCGGGACCTCTTGAGACACAAAGTTCTGATGAGTCTGCTCCCCTTGGCTCGGTAACCAAACCAAACTCGCTGCTTCCTAGTCGAGTTGAGTCAGACTTACAGTGACCCCCATAGAACAGTGTAGTACTATACTACCCTCTAGGGTTTCTGAGGTGGCCAGTCTTTACAGAAACAGTCCACCTTATCTTTCAACCACAGAGAGGCTGGTGGGTTTGAACAGTTGACCTTACCATTAGCAGCCCAACGCTTAACCCACGTTGCCACTAGGGCCCCTTCTGGCTTGGTGAGGGGAAGAAAACTGCTTACTATGCAAGGCGGGGACCCTTCACTGCATGGAAACATGAGTTTCCCACCCCCACCATTTCTGTCTGCCTCTCTTACCCAATACCACAATCTTTCCTCCCCAGGACTCTGGCCACTGGGCCCCCTCCCCCGACCCTGGTTACCAGGAAACCTTCAACGCCCCACTTTCCCTTCCATGGTTTGGTGCCAATGTCTGAGCCAGGCTCAAAGCCCAAAATACCCTTGGCAGTCTCCTCTCTTTTCTCCATTCTCAGGGTAGGGGGCCTCCCTCCCGCCAGTCTCTAGGCTTCCTGCCCTCACATAACACCATAACACGTCGCTTCAGTGCTTCCAAGGCCCAGCCTCCAGCTCTTACCTGACGTCCTGTACCCTTCTACAGCTTTGCTGTTGCCTATGCTCCAGCTCGGGAGGCAGCCAACAGAGAAATTCCCTCTCTACCCCGAGCTGGTCCTGAGGGCTCCACCAGACACGCAGCCAGCAAACAGGTGAGATCTGATATCTGGTCCTCTGGGAAGGGGTCTGGTGTGCAAATGGCTCTGGTTTCATTGGTTTCTCTCTCTTCTCTTCATCTTCAGAAATACCTAGAGAATTATCTTAACCGCCTCTTGGCCATGTCTTTCTACCGCAACTATCACGCCATGGTAATGACCTGGAATGGGATGCCTGGGTCCATTTGAGGTGGAGTAGGACATTAGACTCCAAGGGAGCTGAGGAGCACATTTAATGGCATCTGAGGGACTGAAAGCCAGATTCTCTCCTCTGAACCGTGTCTTCTGTCTGCAGATGGAGTTCTTGGAAGTCAGTCAGCTGTCCTTTATCCCAGACCTTGGCTCCAAAGGACTGTGAGTGTCAGACCCCCTTGACCCAGCCATCTGCAAAATCTCTCCCTGCCTTGAGAATAGTGAAAAACCAAATCCACTGCCATCAAGTCAATTCTGACTCAGTGACCCTTTAAGACAGGGTAATGCTGCTCCTTTGGGTTTGTGAGACGAAATCTTTATGGGAGCAGACAGGCTCTTCTTTCTCCCAAGGATCGACTAGTGGCCTTGAGCCTTGAGGTTACCAACCCAATGCTTAACTCACCGTGCCACCCGAGCTTCTAGGGAAAGGAGTGTAGCATGGGCTGGAAGGTCGAAATTACTCATCTGGTATCTCTTCTTGCTTTTCCAAACAGGGAGGGAATAATTCGGAAGCGTTCAGGGGGTCACCGGGTACCTGGCTTCACCTGCTGTGGCCGAGACCAAGTTTGTTATCGCTGGTCTAAGAGGTGAGGGCTGGGCTGAGCAGGTGGGCAGTGGATAGGGCTGAGAAGACAATTCGAGAGCAGGGAGGAACGGATGGAGCCCTTCCGCTCCAGGTGGCTGGTGGTGAAGGACTCCTTCCTGTTGTACATGTGCCTCGAGACCGGCGTCATCTCATTTGTCCAGCTCTTCGACCCTGGCTTTGAGGTGCAGGTGGGGAAAAAGAGCACAGAGACACGGTATGGGGTCCGCATCGATACCTCCCACAGGTAAGGCCTTTCTGGTGTGGAGAGGGACCTGGTGAGTTAGATAGAGCCAGAGCTAGAACCCTGAAGGTTGCTGAGTGGAACAGACCAGGGAAGAGAGGAATGTGTTTTTTCCAAGGAGCTGTTTCAGCCAGATGCTTGGGATTGCTCTCAGAGTCCAGGCCCAGAGAAAAGGGTTTGAATATTAGCCTGGGAAAAGTACTGATAAAGACACAAAGGAATTCTATTAATTCAAAAAACCTAGGTGTCTGGCATAATACTAGGTGCTGGATATCCAACTATGAACAAGACAGAACCAAGGGGGCCTCAAAAAGTTCATGGAAAAACTCCATTATCTTTTAATTCTCTTTCCCAGGAACTTTTTGAAGCCTCCTAGTATATGCCCTGCCCCTACAGAGTTGTGAGTTAAGGACTAAGAGAGGAAGTGAGAAAGAAATGCAGGTCAAAGTGGGGTGGTCTCTGGGCAAGGCCAGAGGTATGGAGGTGGAGGGTCTGGGGTCCATCTCTTTGTTCCTATCCAGGTCCCTGATTCTCAAGTGCAGCAGCTATCGGCAGGCACGGTGGTGGGGCCAGGAGATCACTGAGCTGGCTCAGGGCCCAGGCAGAGACTTCCTACAGCTCCACCGGCACAGCAGCTATGCCCCACCCCGGCCTGGGACCCTGGCCCGGTGGTGAGACCCTGATGTCCCTTCTAAACATGTCTGGGGACTTCTTGAAGCCCTTGGTGTCTTTGACTTCTTGACCCTCCCTTTTATTTTTATGACCCCTTCTGATCTCACTGAACCCTCTTTGACTTCTGTAGTCTCCCTGACCCTTTTAAAAAAAGTTTTTATTGTGAATTGAGTGATAGTGTACATGGGGGAACATCAGTTTTACATTCGTCCTATCGTATTTGTTTCATTGCAATGATTACAATCCCCTGCATGCTTCATCATTCAACAGTTTTTGCTTCTGTTCCCTCTGTTTTTTTTTTTTTTTTGGATGTGCCCCAAAACACTGGAATATACAATCATTCAAACAGCCAAAGGGCACACCCTGCAAGCCTGCCCCCCGGCCGCCAGCACACAGCCCCTCCCCAACCATGGGTCTAGAGTCTTTGCTACTCCTTCTCTCCATGTCGTCATCTCTGTCTCCATCTCTGGCTTCTCTGGGCAGGGTCCTACACTCTGTTCCCACACTTCTCCCTTGATAGTCCCAGGGTCCTCCGCTCTGTCCCTGACCCCTTTTTAACCATGCTGATCACTTTGATCTGATCTTTCTGTTCTTAACCCCTTTGACCTTCAAACTCTTCTCACTCCTGACCTCTTTGACCTCCTCTGACCTTTTTAAACCTCCATCCCCTACACTAACTCTATGCTATCCTCAAATCTCTCTGATTTACTCATTTAATAAACATTTTCTAAGACCTACTATGTGCCAGAAGTCCTAGTGTGGGTTAATGCGCTGGACCACAAGGTCAGTTTGAGCTGCAATGTTGGTGGTTCAAATCCACCAGCCGCTCCTTGGAAACCCTACACAGGGTCGCTATGAGTCGGAACCAACTGGACGGCACTTAACAACAACAACAATGTGCCAAGTTGGGAAGAAGAAACAGACTTCTCTAGTTTCATCTCCAGTTCGGTGGTGAATCCTGTCACTAAAGAGTGTGAGCTTACCATACTAGCCATAGATCCAGAGAAATGAGCACAAAGGAGGAGAGACTGTCCCACCACAGGGATGTCAGGACCAACTTCTAAACCCCCAAGGTTAGCCTTAACCAGATAAAGAAAATGGAGTCGGGGGCCCAGGGAGAGGGGACAGGAATAGTCTGGTATGTCTGGAAACCACAAGGACAGATTATTGTTAGAGTGTGAGGAGGAGTGGTCAGAAAAGAGTCTGATCATCATCATGCACGACGTCATGTGCTAGGCTGAGCGAGTTCAAGTGTATCATAGATAGAGGGGAATCATAGGAATTTTTTGTTGGAGATGGTTTTGAGATTTTTAAAAATTAAACATAAGAGCTAATAAGGACACCTGGTATGGCACTGTAACATCAGCAGTAGATTGTGAATCACAGGGTCAGCAGTTCAAACTCACTAGCTGCTCCTTGGAAACCCATGATGGTGGTAGTGTGCCGTGGAGTAGGTTCCTACTCTTAGCGATCTTATATAGGGTTTCTGAGGCTATAAATCTTTACGGGAGCAGAAAACCTCCCACAGAACGGCTGGTCATTTTGAACTGCTGACCCTGAAGTTAGCAGCCCGGCTTGTAGCCACTACACTACCAGAGCTCCTTTCGGAAACCCTATACAAGGTCCCTATGAATTGGAACCGACTCAGTGACACTTAACAACATCAACAACAAAGAACTAATAATAACTAATAACCATGTGGAGTCCAGGTGTGGCGCTGTAGGAGTAACACTGGATTGCTAACCACAAGGTCAGTGGTTCAAACCCACCAGCCTCTCCTCAAAAATTCCATATAGGGTCACTATGAGTCAGCACCAACTTGAGGACACTTAACAACAGCAACGTATGTAGTACTTACTATGTGCCAGTAACTGTTCAAAGTGTTTTACTTATATTGAACCATTCAATCCTCACAACAACTATATAAGGCAGCTAATCTCCATTTTACAGATGAGGAAATTTGAGATAAGCAGAGGGTAAGAATCTTGCCCATCACATGAACAAAATTCAAATCCAGGCAGTCTGGGCATAGACCTTGTTCTTAATTACTATGCTAGATTGTTGGTTTAAAAGTCAGACAATATGGAAACACATTAAGTGAAAATAAATAAATAAATTTCTCATCTATCGGACAATCCTTTACCCTAACTCCTATCCAACAATCCTTCTCAACATTCCTACTTCTCTTCCCAAAGGCAATCCTGGCAACAGTACGATTTGTGTCTTTCCACCCTTTTCTGCCTGTTTTCCTATGTGCATGCATGTATTTATACATTGTTTGATCATAAGTGAGTTAGCTTTTCTGTGACTTATTTTTTCTCTTAATGTTTTAGAGAGTAGATATTTATCTCCACTTTTTTTTTTGCTCATATGAAAGTGCTGTGATGAACACAATCTTTGTCTGAGTATTTTATAGGAGATAAGATGCCCTGGTGGTGAGTGGGATATGCCATGGGCTGCTGCTAACTGCAAGGTCAGCAGTTCAAATCCATCAGCTGCTCCTTGGGAGAAAATTTAAAGGTTTGAAATTAACCGGTGGCTTTGTGGGAGTACTTCTGTAAAAATCACAGACTGAAAAACCCTATGGGGCAGTTCTACTCTGTTGTCAAAACCAAAAAATCCAACTGATGGCCGTCAAGTCAAGTGACCTTATGGGACAGATTAGAACTGTCCCAGTAGAGGTTCCAAGGCTGTAAATCCTTCTCCTGTGGAGAAGCTGGTGAGTTTGAATGGCTGACCTTTCAGTTAGCAGCCACTTAACCACTATGCCACCAGGGGTTCCTACTTTGTCACATGGGATCACTCTGAGTAAAAAATCAATTTGACACACCTAACAACAGCATTCTTAGAGATAGAACTAGTGTGTCAAAGAGTACATGCATTTAATATTTTGATTGCCACTGTTGTTGGGAAGTACGTGTAGGCGTTTCCGACTCATAGCGACCCTAACTAGGGTTTCTAAGACTGTAAATCTTTGCGTGATCAGAAAGTCTTATCTTTCTCCCACAAAGCAGCTGATGGGCTCAAATTACTGACCTTGTTGTTCAGTTATGTGCTCAGTCCTGTGCTTATTCTACTGAGCTACCACACTTCTGATATTTTGATAGATACTGCCAAATTGTCCTCTAGAAAGACTATTTATAACCAGCGTATAATTGCATGGTCTGTGACAATACCCAGTTTCTCATGTGTTAATATTTCATGCTACTGGTCATTTAAATTTTTTGCCAATCTATTGGGAAAAAAATTCATTTTCATTTTCATTTCCTTGTTTACTAGTGAAACGGAACATCTTTCCCTCCAATTAGCCATTTTCATTTTCTTTGTGAACTGCCATTTCTAATTTTTTGCTCACTTTTCCGTTGATTTATATGTCTTTGTCTTACTGATTTGATAGAGCTTTTTGTATGATGTGTTCTATAAATTTGATTTTTATTTGGCCCATGTTGGCAAATCCATCCCACTCTGAAAAATCTGATACCATCCGACCTCTGTGATCACTCTTGATCCCTGGACCCTGCTGTCACCTCTGACCCATGACTGTCCTCGGTCTTTACTCTCCAGAGCTTTCTGACTTCTGACTCCTCTGACCTCCTTGGCTTGGCCTCCCCCCAGGTTTGTGAATGGGGCAGGGTACTTTGCGGCTGTGGCAGATGCCATCCTGCGAGCAAGGGAGGAGATTTTCATCACAGATTGGTGGTGAGTGGGAGAAAGGTCCAAGCAAGAAGGGGTGGGTAGGGAAGTTCAGCTTGCTGTCCAGAGGAAGGAGAAGGAGGGGCTAGTTGTCTGGGGTTTTAGGCTACCCCTCACTTCCTGTCCTGATTCCTAGGTTGAGTCCTGAGATTTACCTGAAGCGTCCGGCTCATTCAGATGACTGGAGGCTGGATATTATGCTCAAGAAGAAGGCGGTGAGGAGAGTGGCCAGGCTGGGGGAATGTGTGGCCGGGGCTTATGAGTGGATTTGTTAGAAGGGAGAAGGTAGGGAATCCGAGACTTCAAGGAAAGGAAGTGTGCCATTCCTGACTTAGTGTCTGAGAAATATTACTCTTCCTGGTCCCATTTTCCCTGGTATGAATGGGCAAGTCCCTCTTAATGCTCTCTTTACCTGGTATAGACATCTCTCCCAGTACCTGTAACTCTTTACTGTGTTACTTAGGGACTGTATATGCCTAGCTCTCCCACTAGGCTTCTTGAGTGGAAACACTGGCTGATTGTAATCATTAGTTCCAATACATGGCCCAGTGTCCGCTCTTTAGGGAGCGTCCATGGACATAGATGGATGGAAGGGAGAATTTATATGTCTTTGATGATGATGATAGAGGGTGGGTGAATGAGTGGATGGACAGATGATGAAAAAGGAGATCAGTGGAAGGAGATAGGTTGGAAAGGTGGCTAGATAGGACAGTGGATGGATAGATGGATGAATGACAGAGTGGGTGGGTAGATGGGAAGATGGATGGATGGGTAAGGATAGGTAGGTATGTGAACGGATACTAGGATAGATGGGTGTATGAGCAGAGGGATGAGTGGGAGAGCAGATGATGCTCAATGTAAGGTTGTTGCAAGCCTCCCCACAGAGTAAAAGTGGCAGAGCATTCTAAGATCTCCAGGCAGTATGAAAGGACACACAGGAAACCTGAGCATGGGGAAGGGCTTTGGGAAGGTGGAAGGGAGCCATTCTGGAAGAGGCATTAGGATCTGATTCCCCTATTCATCGCAGGAGGAGGGTGTCCGTGTGTCTGTTCTGCTGTTTAAGGAAGTGGAGTTGGCCTTGGGTATCAACAGTGGGTACAGCAAGAGGACTCTGATGTTACTGCACCCCAATGTAAAGGTGACGCTCAGGCCTCAGAGGCCCTTCCCACACTCCAGCCATCCTTACCGCACAGCCCCTTCACTTTCTTTCCCTAAGCAACTCATCTTTTCATCTTTCCATTCCCCTTCCCCACACCTTGTCTGTCTTCCTGCACCTAAATCCACCCTCCTAAGCTGCCTCAAACCTGTTCCAGGTGATGCGCCACCCAGACCAAGTGACACTGTGGGCCCATCATGAAAAACTCCTGGTGGTGGACCAAGTAGTGGCCTTCTTGGGGGGGCTGGACCTCGCCTATGGCCGCTGGGATGACTTGCACTACCGTCTGACTGACCTTGGGGATTCCTCTGAATCAGCTGTCTCTCAGGTAATCCCCCAAAGCCTTCCTGAGTGCCTCCAAACTCAACCTAAAATCCACAGCCCTTCCCAACTTCTACCGCCCCCCTACAATCATTTCAGGCCTTTCCAGGGAACTCTAAGAACCTACTCTGAAGAAAGATACTCAGGCCTTTACCATTTCTTCTACCTCTCCCACTCCTGATTCCTCTAGCAATATCAAATGTAACTGAAAGAGGGTTAAGTTCTCTCTGTTTATTCTTCTTCTCTGTCTCGCATGTCTGTCTGTCTACGTTCTTGCAGTCCTCTTGTCTTTTCTTTGGCCCTGGCTCTGTATGGCGCATGATCCTCTCCTTGAACCTAGCTTGGGTGTGTTCCTCCTACAGTCTCCCACCTCGTGCCCAAGTTCTCAAGCCACCCCAGACCTCTCCCACAACCAACACTTCTGGTTGGGCAAGGACTACAGCAATCTTATCACCAAGGACTGGGTACAGCTGGACCGGCCTTTTGAAGGTAAGGGCCCTTCTTTTCTGAAGCTCCCAAGAGTTGGCAGCAGGGGCAGAAATTGGGGCTGGGACCAAGGCTAGGGCAGCCTTCCCTCTGCAAGTATCTTCCTGCCCCAAGTATCTCCAAGGGACCATCCCTGCTCTCTTCTCTGATTCGTCTGGGACCCCTAGATTTCATTGACAGGGAGACCATGCCCCGGATGCCATGGCGGGACGTTGGGGTTGTTGTCCATGGCACCTCCGCTCGGGACCTTGCCCGGCACTTTATCCAGCGTTGGAACTTCACCAAGGTGCTCACTCCCTCTTGGTGTGGCTGGAGGCTGGGAGGGAGACAGGGGCAGTTGACCACCTGTTTCTAACTCTTCCATCCTCTACATCAGACTACCAAGGCCAAGTATAAGACTCCCATGTACCCCTACCTGCTGCCCAAGTCATACAGCACTATAAGCCAGCTCCCGTTCAATCTCCCTGGAATGCAGTGTACTACTGTGCAGGTAAGGTTTCAACTGCCTCTCTATGTCCCCCGTCCCCAATGACCCACCCATTCTTCCCCTCTCCAATTCCTCCTCTCCTGGGTGAGGAATCTCCTTTGCCATATCACTTTTACTTCTTCCCTCAGGTCTTAAGGTCAGTGGACCGTTGGTCAGCGGGAACTTTGGAGAACTCTATCCTCAATGCCTACCTGCACACCATCAGAGAGAGTCAGCACTTCCTCTACATCGAGGTCCGAATCCATGGGTAAAATGAGGGGATGGCCCAGGAGGAGACTTTTGATATTAGTTGAGGACTTAGATAGCTCGAGTTGGAGATGGGGCTGGGACTGGAGGCCAAGCAGAAGACTAGGGCGAGGTCCTGGACCTGAAGTCCAGGGCTGGGGGCAGGGGCTAGGCTGCTGATCTTTATCTTTGGTCCCTGCATCAGAATCAGTTCTTCATTAGCTGCTCAGATGGGCGGACGGTTCTGAACAAGGTGGGCGATGAGATTGTGGACAGAATCCTGAAGGCCCACAAGTAAGGTGGACTGGCAGGAAGGTGGGGACTGTGGGCGTGGCTTAAGCCCAACTAGAGAGGGTGCTCCGGGGACAGGTCACACCTGTGACTCCACCCCTCTCCCCAGACAAGGACAGTGTTTCAGAGTATATGTGCTTTTGCCTCTGCTCCCTGGCTTTGAGGGCGACATCTCCACAGGTGGTGGTAATTCCATCCAAGCCATTCTGCATTTCACTTACAGGTGAGTCCCAAACCAGGCGAGAAGCATTATTCTGCCCTGATTCCTTCCCGTTGGACCTTTGAGGTCCCCCTTTCTCTGGGTATCCCCACCTTCTCCTCTAATTTTTGCCTCCCTTCCACTTTCTTTTCCCTCAGGACCCTGTGTCGCGGGGAGTATTCAATCCTACACCGCCTCAAAGCAGCCAGTGAGTGCTGGGAACTGAGGGTTGACGCTCTGGACTCCTGGTGGGGGGAGAAGGGAAGATTGGAAGCCTAAAGGTCTGGAGGGCAGGCTGAGGGGAAGGGAGACTAGCATTCATGCATGCCTCTGGGTAGCCTTGCACTGCAGAGAGAAGTACATGGGGAGACTTGAGGAAGGTCTTCTGAAGTGAGGAGGTGGGTGGGACGGGGCATCAGCTGCATGAAGAGTACACCTCTCACTTTACACACTGTACACCTCCTCTCTCTTATACACAGTGGGAACAGCGTGGAGGGACTACGTGTCCATCTGCGGGCTTCGCACACATGGGGAGCTGGGTGGGCACCCAGTCTCAGAACTCATTTATATCCACAGCAAGATGCTCATTGCAGACGACCGGACAGTCATCATTGGTTAGTGCTAGAGCTGGGCCTCTGGCCATGAGAAGAGGGGTGAAGGGATGGAGGAGGGTCCAGCCAGGGCACAGTGCTGATGGCTGGAATTATGGAGACTAGCACTGGAGCCCAACTGTGGATGGTGGCCAAAGAAGGCAAGGCATGTTACCTATGGGCCAGTACTCTGGTGAAGGTGCTGGAATAGGGACCCCATGGGCCCCAACAGACCCAGTCTGTACTGCACCCACCCCAGGCTCTGCAAATATCAATGATCGGAGCCTACTGGGAAAGCGGGACAGTGAGCTAGCTGTGCTGATCGAGGACACAGAGATGGAGTCATCGGTCATGGACGGAAAGGAGTATCAGGCGGGCAGGTTTGCCTTGAGTTTACGAAAGCACTGTTTCAGGTATGGCCCCGGATGGAAGTGGGCAGGGGAATCTACCTTTTGAACCAGGTGTGAGGTATGCTTAGAGGTAGTACTGGCTTTCCCAATTGGCAAACTCATTCACTTCAGGATACCAGCAAAGTAGGGACACTAAAAGGGAAAAAATAAATAAATAAAAGAGAGAAAGAATAAAATATTTTAAAACAAGTTTGATATTAAAAAGCAAAATTAAAAAGTAGAGATAAATTAAAACCGTTGGAATCCTTTATACTTATTTTACTATTTAATACTGTATCTATTTTGAATGACCTGAGAGGAACAAGAGTATTTTTGTGGCATGCTAAGGGTCTTCATGGAGTCCTGGTATGGTGCTGTAGAGTAAGCACTCGGCTACAAGGTCAGTTTGAACCTCAAGGTTGGCAGTTCAAACTCACCAACCACTTCCTTGGAAACCCTATACAGGGTCTCTATGAGTCGGAACCGTCTCAACAGCATTTAACAACAATGTTGTTGTCATGTGCCGTGGAGTCGATTCCGACTCATAGAGACCCTGTACGGGGTTTCCAAGGCTGTAAATCTTTACAGGAACAGAAAGCCTCATCTTTCTCCCACGGAACAACTGGTAGTTTCCAACTGCACTAGGGTCTTCATACAGAACCTTTTTCTTCCGTAGCGTGATTCTTGGGGCGGATGCCCAGCCAGACCTGGATCTCCGAGACCCTGTCTGTGAGGACTTCTTCCAGTTGTGGCAGGATACGGCTGAGAAAAATGCCAATATCTATGAGCAGGTGGGGACTTTGGGGGGTGGCTTGGAGAAAATGCATGGCCTATGCTGTTCACAGCTAATCTTAAGAGGGCATGAGGACCTTGGGGGGCATTGTGGTCCAGGGTCAATGTGGCGGGTACTAAGAGATGGTAGAAGAAAGAAGAGTGAGGGATTCTAGACCTGTAAGACTGGGCTCCTGGGAGAATCTCCCTAAGCCTTATTGGCTCCCACTTCTCCCCTCCCCCACAGATCTTCCGATGCCTGCCATCCAATGCCACACGTTCCATGCGGGCACTCCGGGAGTATGTGACTGTGGAGCCTCTGGCCACGGTCAGCCCTCCCTTGGCACGGTCTGAGCTCACCAAAGTCCAGGGCCACCTGGTCCACTTCCCCCTCAAGTTCTTGGAGGATGAGTCTTTGTTGCCGCCACGAGGCAGCAAGGAGGGCATGATACCCATGGAGGTGTGGACATAGCCGAGGCTCCAAGTAGGGGGAGCGGTCAGCTTTGGGCTCCACAGTTTCTGCCTCCTGTCCCTTAACCCTGTGGACCAAGGGCATTGCCCTTTGAGACCTGGGAGAGGCTGGCATCGGAAAAGAGAAGTCACAGACGACCCTCGCTTGGGAAGCAGTTAAGGAGGGTACTCGCAGCTCTGGGCTGGGGAGTCAGGAGAGGGGCCTGGAGAAGAGCATCCTCCCTGCCACACAGTCAAAACCAATGCTACAGAGAAGCAGCACAACTCCTGCCCAGACACCTGGGGTCAAGCCACTTAGGTAGGAGGAGGGGCTCTGCCCTGGGCCTTCTCTCCTCCTCCCCTTGAACTCTCACCTGCCCCAGCTCCTCTCCCAGCCTGTTTCTACCAAGGTGGAGGAAGGTTGGAGCCACTTCTGACTTCAGCATCCCACTGGGGGATTACACTAAACCCCTCCACCAGCCTGCAGACTGACACTAACTTTATATCTGTCCAATGATTGTTTCATAAATAAAAGTGTAGAAAAAAATCCCTGCTTCTTCCTTGGTGAATCCAAGTGCTTGTCTGAGCCACCTTACCCTACCTATGCAGAACATCAGTGTCTTCTCTTCCATTCTCTACAACTTTCCTCTTCTGTCTCCATCTCTGTTTTACCTGCTTGGGACCATGGGAGTTCAGTCACCTGGCTACTCAGAGGAGAAGGTGTTCACTCAGTGATGCCTGGGTAGAAGGAAGGACAAAGCCAGACCGGGGCCCCTGGGGAATTGCACTGACTATGCAGTTGCAGCTGAGGGAGGAGCATTGAGCAGAAAGGTTCCGTCTCTGGTTTCACCAGGAACAGCCCTGGGAGGGGCTGATGGAAGTCCCCATGGGAGTGGTTAAGAATCTACAGGCTTCATTTTTGTCAAGAAGAACTGGGCCCAAATCGTGGATTTGTCACTTGTGGCCTTGTCAAATCATATCAGCTCTCTGGGTTCCAATGGTGCCAACTGGGAAAGCTATAACTGGCTTTCTATAAAGATTCTGTCATTGACTTAAATATTTATTGAGCAACTCACTGGATGGTGCAAGAAAGGCCTGCCAATCTGCCTCCCTAAAATTATAGCCAAGAAAACCTATGGAGCAGTTCTGCTGTAATAATACTAAAGGTCACCATGAGTTGGAATCAACTCCATGGCAATGTGTCCACTCTTTGAAAGGCACTGATCTAGAGCTCTGGTAGCGTAGTGGTTACGAGTTGGGCTGCCAACCTCAAGGTCAGCAGTTCGAAACTACCAGCAGTTCCACAGGAGAAAGACGAGGCATTCTGCTCCCATAAAGATTTACAGCCTCGGAAACCTTGTACAGGGTCACTATGAGTCGGAACTGACTCCACGGTACTTAACAACAACAACATTCTAGACTGGTGTGGTGCTGTGGGTTAATGTGCTGGACTGCAAAGTTGGTTTGAACCACAAGTCAGTAGTTCAAGCTTACCAGCCGCTCCTTAGAAACTCTCTATACTGGGTTGCTATGGATTGGAACTAACTTGATGGCACTTACCAACAACAACATTTTAGACTCACATGTTGTTGTTATTAAGAGCTGTAAAGTTGGTTCTGACTCAAATGACCCTGTATAAGGTTTCCAAAGAGCAGCTGGTGGCTTTGAACTGCCAACCTTGTGGTTTGCAGTGCTCATCCTATAGCACCACACCAGGAGTCCCGACTAAGATAAGTCAGTACAATTAGATAAAGTCATCCCCAATTTTGTTCTAGAGCTTTTCTGCCCAATCGCCACTAAGTATATCTGGCTATTTAAATTTAAATGATTTAATGTTAGAAAAAAATTGTTCCTCAGTCTTGTTTGAGTGCTCAAAAGCCGTGTGTTGCTAATGCCTAGCATATTGGACGTATAGGCAGACCATGTCCATCATTACAGGACAGAATCAGAAGTTTATTGGAGGGCGCTGCTCTAGAAAGAAAATAGACTGAAATGTCGTATAGCAGACATCCAGTTTGCATGGTGGTTACATCCCGGGGTGGGTGGAAAGAAAGAGACACAATAACAGAAGGGATACAGAGAGCTTCAGCTGAATTGGTAACATTTCTTAAACTGAGTGGTGGGCAAACAATGGTTGTCATATTTAAATATTTTGTGTACCCTAAGCATTACACAATTGTAAAAAAAGTTTAGCACAGGTCCTGGCTTGTAACATTCATTCTCCCCAAAGTCCTGAAATTGACACAGAGACAAGAGGAAACTGAGGAGAGTAAAGTAAGGGGTTTAAGAAGCCTTCCTGGAAGAGGGGATGCTGGGTGAGATGACATATGAGGAGAGACAACACTTGCCTTGTCCCCAAGCTCTTCTTTGAGCCCAGCTTTTCCTTCTTCACAAGAAGCCACTTTCACATAAGAAATCCCCCCTCCCATTTATAGCGGTCCCTTGGCGCTAATTGGCATTCTGTTAATTAGCCTCATTATCTGCACTAAGTGCCTCTTTCCCTAAGGGGACCATCACCTCATTAACTGTGGAGTGGGGTGGAGGTGGCAGCTGCTCCAGGGGCTAGGTGGGTTTCTCCACACTCAGTTGGTCTATCTGCCTTTTTCTCATTAGCCCTGAAGTTTCTTTAGATTATTATTTGTTGTTGAGAATATACACAGCAAAACACACACCAATCAAGCTTCTACATATACAATTTAGTGACATTGGTTACAGTCATTGAGCTGTGCAATTATTCTCACTCTCCTGAGTTTTTCCTCCACCATTAATATACTCACTGCTCCCTAAGGTTCCTAGCCAATCTTTTGAGTTGTTGTTGTCAATTTGATCCCATATGTATAGATGTTAAAAGAGCATAATGCTCAGGCATGTAAGTTTGCAGGCAACTACATTGGTCTACTGGTGAGTGGAAGAGGGGGAAAGGCAGCAATGAAGAAATGGGCTGAGTTCAACCATGTTTCATAGATTCCTGTTGACCTAGAGATGAGACAGAGAAGAGGAGGGCTGGTTGGTCCAAAGTGTGGTGAGACTTGGGGACTCTTGAGTCCATGGACAAGGACATAGCCACAGAGGGCTAGAGCTAAGAGTGAAACATCCAGCTGATATGAAGTGAGGGGAGATGCATAAGAACATCCAAACTTGCAGATAGTACCCATTTGACCTAGCCTCGATGGCTTGATAATCAGAACTCAATTAGAGGAAGATAAAAAAACAGTTTTTGATAAAGGAAACGAGGGTAAATTGCTACAATTTTATTAACTTGACCTATACTCATGGATATAGTACCTCAAAATACCAACAGAGAGGGAAGGAGTCTTCACATCAAGTATCAATCCTATTCCCTCTGTATACAGAGTAGATAGGGACAGGCAACTTAGACACTGACTACCTAAAATGGTGGTGGTGGTTATGTGCCGTGGAGTCGGTTCCAACTCATAGCAACCCTGCATAGGGTTTCCGAGGCTATAAATCTTTATGGGAGCAGAAAGCCTCATCTTTCTCCTACGGAACAGCTGGTAGTTTTGAACTGCTGACCTTGAGGTTCACAGCCTGATTCGTAACCACTATGCTACCAGAGCTCCTTACCTAAAATGAGGGGGCGATAAAGGCATGAAATGACTGGCTCACAAGTTTTCAAGAGACAATTTAGTTTAACTAATAAACTGAATAGTTTTCATCTTGTCTAGATGGGTCTGGTGAAAAGAGATGGGGATAAGATTCTTACGATTCAGCAGTGAGTAATTGTTATCATGATGAATTGCGAACGACACAACTGTAAAAGTAGAAGTTTTGTAACAAAAACAGAGAAGTAGTTCATCTTACAGTCCAGAAACAGAGGACCCTAGGACCATCAAGGGAGAAGAGCACAAGTGGAACCCGGGACTCTATCCAGAGAAGCAGCGACACCAGAGTTGGAGGCAGATTATGATAAGGACATGGAGAGAGGGAGCAGATGAGGACCTAGACTCATGCGAAGAGAGGGACTGAGAGCTGGCGGCAGGCTTGCAGAATTTGCTCTTACGTTGTTTAAATTATAATATATTCCTGAGTGTTTTTTTGTACATCCTCCCACCCGTCACCCCACCCCCCAAAAAAAGAAAAACAGAGGGACTGGAAGCAAATACTGTTGAATGATGATGCACAGAGGAGATTGTAATCACTGCAATGATATGATGGTGTAAAGATGATGTTCTCCCATGTAAACTATCACTCAGTTCACAATTAAAAAAAAAAAAAAGAGCATAATGCTCAAGGCCGACATTCTTTGCTAGCTACGATTAAACAGTTGTTTGGTTTTAAGACTTCAAGGGATACTTTTGGTTTAAGGTTTAAAGATTATTGCAGGGTAAAATCTCATGGGTTCATCTAGCCTCCATGGCTCCAGAAATTCTGTTCTATCTTTTCCTCCTTTTGATCTTCTATAGAAACTTTCATCAAAATATTCAGTAATGGTAGCTGGGCATCATCCAGTTCTTCTGGTTTCATGGCAAAGAGGCAACTAGTCACCCATTCCATTTCCTCCCCTTACTTCTGACTTCCCTTCCTCAGTTGGTCCAGGCAAATAGAAGCTGTGTCTTGAATGGCTGTTTGCAAGCTTCTAAGAAGCACTAGACATGTTATTAGGCCAATTAAGTGGGATGTCCCATGGAACCATGATCCTAAACCTCCAAACCAAGGAACCAAATCCCATGAGGTGTTTGGTTGTACATAAACAGCATTAATAATTGCTCTTTTTGTTGTTATTATTATAAATATATTTATCACACTGCTTTTGTCAATTCAACTTTTTACAAGTGTACAACTTATTGACAGTAATTGGCTGTGCAATGCTACCAATCAATGTGATTTTCCATCCCTGTAAAAGGAAACTCCGCACTCCATAAGTCAGAACTCCCTCCTTTTCTCCCTCCCTTCAACTACTAGTTGTTGTTGTTGTTGTTATTTGTCATTGAGTCGGTTCCAACTCACAACGACACTATATAGGGTTTCTGAGGAGCAGCTGATGAGCCTGAACCGTAGACA